CACACACACACACACCCTTTCTTTTAAACTAAAGAGAATGAGTGCCAGATTGCACACCTAGTTAATTTTAGAGACAGGGTCAGAATCAAGCAGGGGCTATATGCACCATGAACCTTATTTTTAAAGTTGGCAATTCTTTCTTGTCAAGAGATGGGGATTATTTATATCAAATCATGTACCCTGGTTAATAAACATTTCTTAACATAAGCAATAGAATTTTAAGTATGAAAATGTATAATGAGTTTGGCTGAAATATATTCATTTCACTAACTATGAAATACCAATAACTGCATAATGGATTATTTTTAAAAAAGACAGCCCTTATTTTACATAAAGTCACATTGCAAACAGAATTAATTTCCTTCCACTTTCTTTGGAGGTTAGAATCTGAGTAACATAGTAAAGGAAAATGAATAGTATTAATGAGTTATGCTTTTAATATATATAATTGAGGTAAATTTAAAATTAAGAAGCAGAAGCATTTAAAACAAAGGAGAAGAAATGTAGAGTGAAAAAATGAAGAAAATGTGGATTCATGAGATGAAGTGAGAAAATCGAATACATTATAATGAACATTGATTCACATCATTTATTATACAAAGAAAAGCAGCATACCTCTGGCTGTACTTGCTTCATAACCATAGGATGTTTTGTTTAAAATGTGATGATCGCCAGAAGAAGGTATTATCCTTGAATCTGAAACAGGATGAATCCCTTTAACACGTTCAGCTATTGCTTTATGTTGCTCATAGAATCCAAGTTTCCTTGGAGAGCCTGTCCTTGGCATTGATTCACCATTTTGTAGTGGCATATTTTCTTCTCTTTGAGTGTCTGCTGATAGGTGAGTCTCTGAGTTGTTCACATTCTTAACCAGTAGCTCAGTGATTTGCAATGACACTTCCTTTTGATTAGCAGCAGAGGTTTCTGATAAGGAATTAGATTCAGTGCTACATCGACCTTCTAACCTGTATTTCCCAGGAGACATAACTGCACCAGGCACAGCTCCCATAAGTTCTATTGTTGTCTTTGTAACAGCAGCAGGTTTGGGAGAGCTCTGAGAGGTAGGGTCATTGGGGCCACCATTGTCACAGTGGGATGCCATGCTTCCACTATTAGGAAATGCATCTGCTTCAGACACAGAATCTTCAGTCAAGGCTAAAAATTCTGAAGGTGTCTGGGCTGTGGTAAGATCAGCAGAAAGCAAAGGAGATTGCAGAGAGCTTCCTGCCCGTTCATTTACATCCACAGAACAAGATGGAGAAGCTCTTACTAACACAGGTTCTCTCTCTTGGTACTGTGTAATTTCAAGTGAAAATTCAGACTGTTGTACCAACGAAATGGATTGGCTCTGTGGAACTGGCTTAGAAAATTTATAGTGAGATGAAAAAGATTTAGGGAGTAACTTCCTTGTTGACTGCTTAACAGAACGGCGAGTTTGTTCTTCTGTGAATCCAGAATCATCTCCCTCACTCTTGCCAGAACTTAGACAATTTATAAAGACATTCTTATTAGTTGAGTGCTCCTTTTCCCTTTCAAAATTCTCTGTCAAGGATCTTGTTATYTTCTTATGTCGTGAACTACTAAAACCCACAGAATGTCTTCCCCTGGTTTTAATATGTTCTTCCAAACTCAGTTTCTGCATATTGCTGTGACCAGGTTGAGCACCATTTGAAATACTAAGGTTCTGGTTAGTGGGTTCTTGCTTAGGTTCACTCCCTTTCTTATGGTGGAAGCTGATGGAAGGAGCTCGGAATAGGCTCCTGCGTTTTCCTGTACTACCTGAGCTTGAGTTAGTGCTGGAAGGAGAAGAACTGTGGACACCAATGGTATTGCTGGAAGAGGGTGAAGAAGGAAGAGAGTCATGTCTTCTGCTAATACTTTTTCTAAATATTGGCAACCGTGAGACCAAGGTAGATCTTCTTGATCCTGAGTCCCCCATTGGGACTCCAAGGCTTGCACGGGGATAGCCAACTTAGCAACCTGAGAAAAGTTAAAACAAAAAGAACAAGTCAACAGAATACAATTAGAAATAAGACCTAGTAAAACAAAATATTGCATTTCAAGGCGCAGCATAGAATTTGAGTTATACCAAAACAATAAATGATTAAATTCTGATACCGAAGAATCTTTCAAATTTATAAATACAAAAGTGATACACTATTTTACAAAAATTTCAAATGGCAAAAAAAAGTTGATGTAACCAAAAATACTTAAAGTATACTCAAAAGTGTATTAGGTTCCGTGATATGAGATCATTTATTTAAGAGCCAGACTAACTACTCACAACTGATTGCATGATTTTGGCAAATTGTTGAATCTTAATTTTCTACATGTGCTTAATTAGGAGGAAGCATATGACAGCTATGATTATTGCTAAGTAAATGCTCCAGTATTGCCTGTGTAGGAGAACACCAGATGAAGCTATTTTTTAAACTATGTGACTCAGCAGGTTATTGACATAAGCATAATAGGGTCAAAAACCAGACAAAGGTATGGCCAGACACTGAAATCTCCATTTTGAGAAAAAAATAATTAGGATAAATTCTTCTCTTTGTTGTTCGATTTAGGAAGCTCAGAAATAATCAGGCCATTAACAGAAGAAATTAAACCACAAAGGATACAGGGTAGGCTTATAAACAAGTTCAACTTATGAGGCAAACACAACTATAATTTGAAGACTTGCATGAGAGCTAAATCAGCTGGTAATCATAAGAAAAGTGAGAATATATACTGAGGGAATCTAAAACAAAAAAAAAAATATGAGCCATATCAGTGTCAGTATACAAGGGTTCTGATGATCAATCAGAGGTAGAAGAAGAAGAAGACAGCAGCTCTAGTTACCCAACTTTTCCTGTACTAAATATTTTCCACAGATTTTCTTTTTACTCTAGAAGTAGGTAAAACTTCTAATTAGGACACAACGGTTCAGTGGTCACTGAATGAAAACTGGGCGTTTTACGGCAGAAGTAATTCATCTGGAGTCACTCGGCTAACAAGCAAGCAGGAATAAGAAATTAAACCATCTCTACTTTAAGGTTGGCTCAGGTAAGCCTGGTATATACTGCATGCACTGGAGTGAGAACCAAATCATGCTTCCTCTTCAGGGATTCCTAGTTGAGAGTCAATCTTAGGACTCTGCTGGCTGCTACTTTTCAATGGGCTTCACAGTGTACCAGGATGTGCTTCTGTTTTGTTTTGCTTTGCTTTAAATTTCACTTAACCTTTTACCTGCACTGTCCAATCCTCCTTTGTCCACTCGAATTGGACTCTGTTTCATTTTGTTGTTTTTTTGTGACCAAATCTGCCTGACTAAACACTAATAAGTATATAATATTAGAAACCCTCCACTTCATTATCCTTATAGATAGGAGAATTGATTAAGTAAAAAAAAAAAAAAAACAAACAAACTTTCATTTCCTTGAAGAAGGAAGACATGAAAATGGAGAATATTTTTTCTCAGATATAATTTCAAACAATATAGTTTGACACATTTGCATTTTAAGATTTTAATGGATGATTTTTTCATTGCAATCACTGAATCTGAGTTAATCTTTGAAGTTGACTTTATTTTTAATTTGCTAGTGAGATCACATGGCATTTATTTAATTTGACAAGGAAGAATTGTATATATTTATGTAGTATAACATGATATTTTGATATATGCTTACATGTGCAATGATTAAATCAAGCTAATTAATATATCTACCATCTCTCTTGGGAGAACATTTAAAATGTTAAATTTTGAAGTTCATACTTCTCTACTATTGTCTGTAGTCACCATGCCATGCAACAGATTTCTGAAATACATTCCTCCTGTATAACTGAAAATTTGTAACCAACCCTTTGCACATCTCCCCATCCCCTATGCCACCTATTCCAACTGTCACCCCTAGTAACTCCTATTCTGTCCCCTACTTCATCAAGTTTGACTTTTTAAAATGCCAATTGTAGTGAGATCACATAGCATTTATTTCTCTGTGCTGGCTTCTTTCATTTCACTGAGCATGCAGTAATCCAAGGTCATCTACATTGTTGCAAATATAGAATTTCCTTCTCATTTAAAGCTGAATAGCATATCATCATATATATATATATATATATATATATATATATATATATATACCACATTTTTTATTTATCCATTTATCCTTTTGTTTCATATCTTGGCTATTACTAATAATGCTTCAATGAACAGACGTGAAGGCATTTCTTTGAAATTCTCATTTCAGATCCCTAGGATATATATTCAGATATGGAGTTGGTAAATCATATAGTCAATCTATTTTTAATATTTTGAGGAACTTCTCTAGTTTTCTCAAATGACTGTACTAATTTACATTTCCACCAACACAGTATAAGGTTTCTTTTACCTCCACATGAATTTGAGTTTAAATCTAAACTGTACATGAGCCACACCCGAGCATTTCAGTGTTCCTATAAGGTCTTCATTGAAGAAAGCTTTAAATATAAATGGAACTCTTATTTTTTCACAAATAAAAATGTCTCCTCCTCACAGCTTACATTTTCCAAATTAGAGACAATGAATAATACATTTTCCATGATTTTATTCTTAATGTTTTAATTAGCATCATTCTTAGCTCTGATTTTTTTCATTTATATGCAGCATTTCAGTTTCCATTCAGTGCCTACTGAACAACTGTGTCCTAATTAGAGCATTATCAACCATAATGACTTGCAGCTGGTTGTGAACCTATGGCCGTAAATGCATTAATGCCAAGATATTCACCATGATGACTTAAGTACTTCAAAATTGATGTATATTGAAATATTTCTTGGCCTTTTAAGAAGGATTTCTTGCATTTGGATCAGCATTAAAATTTCTAAAACTGACTCAATTCCATATCTCCTTAGCAAGTATTCATAAGATTTAACTAAGAAAAATTTTTCAAAAAAAGATTACAATAATCACTCCTCTTCTGACATATAATGAACAGAGCCAGACTTCCACTGGGAACAAATAACACATTTAATCTACAGATACATTTGTCCTAATTTCCTTAAGTAAAACCACCACATGTTCTAAAGCATGTTTGAATGTTCAATGAAATGAACTGGGGTAGATATAAAATCCATTAAAGACAAAAATCCTTTAGATTTCACCTTGTTTTATATGAACTCCTATTTCCTAATGAAAAAGAATAAATGACAGAAAGATAAAATATAGACTCGAATTATCCATCTTCTTTAGAAAGACTCTTCAGAGCCCAGATACTCTCTAAATCTCCAGATTCATTATTTCTCTCCTCACATTTCATTCTCCAATTACACTGATGACTGCCATTTTCTATTCACTTTCACCCTTAGGGCCTGTGTAGATGTGGGTCCACCTGCTCAGGCTGCCTGTTTTGTGACTTTAATGTGGCAAAACTCCCACAGATACCATGCTCTCCCTTCCAGGATGCCATCTTTAAAACTTCCTTCCCACTGGATCCATTGTGGACCCTGTACTCTCTCTTTATATATCCTCAGGCATTAGCTCCTTACATGGGAAACAGAATCTATCTGTACTATTTTTATCTTCAGCTTCTTAATGGCAAAGGCCATCTCTGGTTTTGCTTTGATACTGTTCTACCTATTACAACACAGCATTAGTCCCTATAGAGGAAACGGATTTCAGAAAATAAAGTTGTAACTTGATCACATCAGGATTTCAAACATAAATGAGAAAACACATTTAATGTTTTGCTGTCATGAATAAATGTAATAATCCTGAGATTGATTATGCTGCAATGTACCTTTTAGACATTTAGAAGTCTGTCAAGTCTTTCAAATAATTTACAGTTCAATAATCTGAAATTTGTAAATAAACACCTGAAAACATCATGAAAAGAATTAATGCTGAACAAATTGGATGAAACAATCCATTACATCAACTTGAATTATTTATGAGAGATAAATGTAACAGCGTTATAACATGCTAATTTCATTTCTTTTTCTATAGTGTCACTATAATTATAAAAATAACCCTTAATTCCTTAGCCAACGTGTATGTTTTATATACTTTTATAAATGTCCAAATCATATAAGGTATCTTTTTTTTCAATTCCTACTTTTCTCAGTTCAAAAGTGACAGTTACTTGAATCATAAGTCTTAAAAGTACACATTATAGGCTGATCTATACCTAACTATATTGTTCAGGGGCTTCTACTACCATAAATATTATTCTCTTTTAAGAATCAAATTTGTTACAAAAAAGGAGTATCTTCTAATTGAAACTTTAATGCTATTTAAATTAACAAAAAAATAATCCTAACTTGTTGATCACATAACACAGATGTATATTGACCCTATTAGAAGTGGTATAAAATTCAGTCTGATCTCCGTGAAGTTTACAAGGAGCACCTGAAAATACACCCTTTGGTATTTAGAATCAGAATTTAATAAAAAGTACCCAGAAAGTAATTTATTCGGTAATCTACACAACCTTAGCAAATAATACCACCATATGGTAGATTTATTCTAAATAAAATTAGAGTCACATTTCTTATTTAGGATGCTTGAGGAACACTTGATTCTAGTTTTGGGGATTATACAGCTGACTAATAAGCAATTTATTTAAAATTTGAGTAAATGTAAAATACATTAAATAATGAAGTCATATTGATAATATTAACTGTTCTACTATGATTCCAAATGCATTAACCAAAGGCATAAAAAGCTTTTGTGGGGTTTCAGAACTGCACCAACTTGGAAAAGGATTACCATAAACACAAATGGGTATATCTGTACAGTAAAAGAAAAAAAAAAACACAGTCATTTTCCCCATAATTTTTCAAGAATTTTTCTAGAGATTGGACACCTCTTGTGTTGTTCACATTATGAGCCAGAGCTGTTGAAGGGTGTTCTGATGCCACACATCTGTCATGAGCATAAGTATTTGTGTTGTCTCTCCCAAAACTGACTGAAAAAAAAATAAAAATAAAAATAAAATAAAATCTATACCCACACTTTCTTTTGG